AGTCAGTAACCATTCAAAATTAAAGCAGATAAATCATTTAGATACCCATGTGAGGGAATAATTTTTGAAATTTAAAATTTGTTGGGTTACAATGAATTACAGAAATTGGTCTTTGCAAAGGTATTGCAAAGTTACTTGTTGAGTCTAAAAAAAGGGATTACGACGTGGAGCAAATTGATAGGAATGTTAATTGCAGAATTTGATGTTACAATTGGTAGCGCTTAAGTACATAAGATGTTAATGCAAAGAAAGAAGCTACGAGATGAATGCAAGCAAGTGTAAGTGTTAATAATGCGTGAGATTATAAGTCGTGCGCAAATGGAAGAAGGAGTACATTATAAATGGAGTTATTGACGAACGCGCCAACAAAACATTTTTATATGGTGCGGCATCATTTCAAGAGTTCAAAGAAAAAATAAAACCTTAAGAGAAAAATAAGTCAAAGAGAGCATTTGTACCTAAAGGCAATGTAAATGGAAATATCAATGATAGAATGAAAAGAAAAGCTAGTGAGACACGAAACTAAATAAACGAACGATGTAACAAGGAATAACGCGTTTTATTTACCTGAAGTTTAATTACGGAAAAAGAGCCATAAGTCAAAGGGGTGTCCTTCAAAACAGAAAGGTACAAAATTTTTTGATTGTAATTGCCCCAGAAAAATCAAGTGTGAACTAAAGACGAAAATAGAATCTAGCGTTTTACTGAATTCTATTGTTAAAAATAACATGATCAAGGTCATTATTAACAACAACATGCTTCTAGCACTTTTCTATGCGGGAAGCGATATTAATGCTATAAGAGAGGATATTTTTAAAAAGTTTTTCAAAGATTACATACTAAATCAATGTTGATATTACCTTCGAGTATAGGGACTAATAATATTAAAGCATTACGATCTTTTGAAACGAATGTAATTATAAATACAATCAATTTCGAGGTACCAGTAGGTAATCCTTTATCATCCCGGGCCCAGGCTTCCCTTACAAGATATTGTATCATTGTGCACAAGAACGAAAAAAATTATATAGTGGCAGATCCACTTACAATTGACACATACACAACCCAATCATTAGAATATCTGTTAAGGATATTGTAAGATGTTGTAAACTAGATAAATATGGAAATAGTGTTGAGAAGCGAAAACCATTTTATGAATGACTTAGGTGTTTATCCTTGCCATAAAAACGAGAAGTTTGAAGACAAGTAAACGAATGGATAAGAGACAGAATTGCAAGACCAAGCTCATCTAATTTTGTAAGTCCTGTTGTGTTAGTCCAAAAAAGGGACGATACCTATCGCATTTGCATACGTTGTTAGTGATTAAAGAAAGATACTAAAAGATAAATTTCTGTTGCCTTTAATCGATGATGTCCTAGGCAAGCTTCAAGATGATACAGTGCCAGTTTCTGAAGAGATAAACTGTATTCTTAGGACATGATCGAAGTAGGAACTATTAGGCCGACAGATGGAAAAGGTCTTAGCTGTTAGAAACTTTCCGATTCCGACAATGTTAGACAGATTTAATGTTTTTAAGAGTTTGAAGAGTGGTTCTAGTTTGCTTTTGGAATCGAACAGCTACAAGCATTTAAACAACCTAGATCAGACAGTTTCAATATTTGTAGGGTTATTTTCAAGGCACTAGTGAATTAATTTTTAAATTAACTCTACTCACTACAAGTAACCACCAGAGTACTGGTTCGTAAAACCAGGGACCCGGGTTCGATTCCTGACGAGGGAGCGACAGCAGCAAGCATTTTTTTTTCATTAATTTGATGTTATCTGTAGTGGGTAAGTTCATTCACGTATCAAATTAAACGTAGATGCCAGCCAACACGGATTTGGAAGCCGCGTTGCTAGAAGAGGGTGATGACGACAAGTTACACCCTGTACACTTTATGAGCAAGAAAACGACGCCAGTTTAGCAAAAGTTCCATAGTTATCTTTTAGCCATCATTGAAGTTTTGAATAAGCTTAGAGTTTATTTATGTAGGTAATAAATTCAACAACCATTAAAGTAAATTATTGAGAAGAAAGACTCAACGGCAAGAGTGGTAAAATGGGCGATGCTATTTGAAGAATTTGATTATGCTATCGAACACAGAAAAGGTGATAGAATGCATCAAGCAGTACCCAACTGTGATGATGGAAGACGTCGTATTACGTAAAATACAAAGTGTAAAATATAACGATTGGAATTTAAGAGTCATAATAGAAAGAAGGTTATGTGGATTACTCTTTAGAGATCACAATTTTGTACAATGATGAACTTGTGCAGAAGTTATTGATGATTCCAAAAAGTACGCAGTCAGAGATTATACGAACCAGGTCATTTTGGTGTAAAGAAAACCGAGAGTTTGATAAATAAAATATTATATACCAAACCACATTTGGAAATCCGAAATGAATTATATTGGGTTTACTGATTAGTGTTTTAATTAGTTAGTTTCAGATTTTTGGATAATATAACACACAGTCGTCAAGATTGACCAAACGAGTTGTTTATTAAAAATTAAAAGGAATACTCACCCCTAATTACCACAAAAAAAATTATTTGAGCGGACACGTGTTTTTGTGTTAATTAGGAGTGAGTATTCCTTTTAATTTTTAATTAATATTTACCACAGACTCCTCTTTCTACTTTAACTTATTTATTTATTACTATAACAACTACTAAGTATATATACATAATAAGATCACAGATGGTGATGCGATAGCATATGCGGTTTTCGATTAACTATTTCATCATCCTCCCTTTAAACGCAAATCCATAGCTCTTGAACATTTTTGAATCTTCATCTGTGCGGTAGATTTTGTCAGGGTGTCAGCAACCATACTCTCAGTACCAACATATTTTACTTCTATCTCGTTCTTAGCAATTCTATCTCGTAGAACATGATATCTGATTGAAGTAGGACGAACTACTGGAGCAAATATCTCATTGTAGTCAATTCCCTTTTTCTAGATAAATCCTTTAATGACCAGTCTTGCTTTGTATCGTACAACCTTACCATCAGCCTTAGATTTTATTTTATAGACCCTTTTACACGGAATGACTCTTTTACCTTCTGGTAGAGTAACTAATGTCCGTATATTGTTTTGCAGGTGCGTCTCATATTCATTATTCATGGCATTTTTCCACTCTTTTGCATTGAGGCCTGAAAGAACTTCTTCCATAGTCTTTGGCTCTCTAACCAATAAAGCTGTTGCTAGTTTTGACTCATTCAAGCTTTCAGACAAGTAGACATTATGTTAATTATTTCTTGGTCTCTGAGTGCTATCATACGAGATGGTAAATTACTTACACTTTTATGTGGTATATACTCATCATCAGTATTATCATCATCATCAGATGATTCCTCTTTTTAAGTTGTATCCTATGAGTCTCAGATGTGTCGGTTGAAAACTCACTGCAATTATATAAAATTCTATGACTTGAGTACGGATTAATCTACAATAAGGAAATGTAGATATTTTTGTGTAATTCATGTGATCATAATGACCTTTTGGTACAAAAAATTGATGTTCCTTAATGTTTAAGAGTAGAAAATGTATCTGAAAGTAAATGTAAATATAACTTGAACATAGCTTCATTTATATTGGCAATGTCATTTCAGTTTGTTAAACAATTTGAAATAAGAACAGCTCTTGATCCTAAATCCATCTGAATGGTACAAAAATTAAAGTGTCAAGAAAGGTTTGATATTGGTAAGGAGTTTGAAACTTGTTAATAACATAGCCGAGCGTATGTTAAATTGATTACCATAGTATACTGAATAAAAATCCAGCACACCACCAATTTATAGTCCAATTTTTATCGAACAAAGTTGTACTGATACTCGAAAAAGGTCAACTGTTGAAAATATGAAAACTAATTTATATTGTTAATTGAATTAAACTTTACGTAAAAATTTTTATAATAATTTATCTACTTTTACATTTTCTACTCTTAAACATTAAGAAACTTCAAATTCTTTTGATCGAAGAAGAATATGTATTGGTCACAATACCAAAAAATCATATTAATCAAATGAATTGATCTTGAATAGGTAATCAATAGAGAAATAAAGATGTTCAGGTTGGAGTGATTAAAATTAGACTTAACTCATGAACGAGTCGTTCACATGAACGACTCAGTCCAACTGAGCCGAGTGAAGTAGTTCAGCAATTGAAGGAATTGTAGTTCAGTAGTTTACAACTTGTACAGTAGAATTCATGTATTTTCAACCTATCGGGACTAATCGACTCATGTATTTCTCTCCTTCATCCCCATTTTGTGGCAGTCACAGAACAATCAGAAAAAACTGCGTAAATATCTGCGCAGTAGTTACGCGCCAATTTTGAATATAAAACGAATAATTTGCTTTGCATCTATTTTTTCATTCGGTGAGCAACGTAAGAGAAGTTTTGCGTGAGAAGTGGGAAGTGGGGACGAAAAAATTTGACAATACCTGAGTAAAATCAATTGAACACAGATGGTATTGAAAATAACTAAATGAACTGCTGAACTATAATAGTGAATTAGTTCACTTCATTGAAGAAGATTTATTGAAGTACGTCAGTGAATTGAACTAAAATTCCGAAGTCTATTTGGAATACATGTAAAATAATATGCATGCTAAAGGAATAAAGAAATATTCGAATTAGAAATGATTTCGGATTACAAAGGATCGAGTTGTAGAAGTTCGACTGTACACAACGTTTACACAATTGCGGTCAAGAGTCTCGAAACAACACGTTTGACTGCGTCAACAAACAATTGCGTTAAAGTTTCACAACTTAAAGAATATTGGCATACTTTTAAAGAACTGTTTCGATCTGGTCGTTGATTTATCGAGATTACCTAAGGTGGGCTAATGAGTCGTATTATGATCGAAATCGTAATCAACATTTGGTAGTTCCAATAAATTACTGACCAAGAACTGTTTTTGTAAGATTGTTTCACTGTATATTTTAATTATACTGGTTCGTAAATTGCAAATATGTGTTATTACTTTTAGAAATGCGAAAATCCAGCTACATTAAATATGGAACGAGGAGAAAGATGCCAATCAGATCCATACATCTGCAAAGAAATGATTTGCATGCTTCCCGCAAGGCGATAAAGTTTTGTAATGGAGGACAAATAATATTTAAGTAATTAATATATAATGACTCTGGTTATACATCGAAAATGCAGAGATGATCTCATTTTAAAGTCTTTTATAGGTATATTTCCGTATTAACATGTGAATATTTTAATATTTGTATTTATATGTATAATGTTGGCTGCATATCATGTAGTGCTGTATAATATACTAATCATTACTGCATCAGCATATATTTATTTATTGTATTCAGTCCATTGTATGTATAGAATAAATAAAGGTTAAATATAACATGCCGTTATATGGTTTGTATGTCTAAATATAATTTCATTGGAAAACATTGCCCTTGTTAGTGGTGCGTATATATCCAGTTTATGAAAAGGTTTGGAGCTGATACATGAAAGTATGATCCTTTGTATCCTAAGTAATGTCGAATATAAATGCGAAAACCGTATCGTAAAACTAATCTCGAATACTACAACAATAATAATGGGTTTTAAAAATTGTTTTAATGACGCATGAACACATTTTTGACGAGCATATCCTTAAATAATATTTCAATATTAAATACATTTGGCATGTATGTACAGTATATATCGACTTGGGGACATTAATGATCACAACTGATTTGTTTAAAGAAAGTAGCGGTCAACAAAGAAACAAGAAGATATTGCCCAGTAACTCAGCTACGCATAATCTAGGGAATGTAGTGTAGTATTTGAGTATTGCAGAAGAGGGATATCCCTAGCGCATAATAAAAGTCAATGAATACCATCTGTGACATGATACCAACTTTACTAAGTGCTAATCTGGGCAGCAGCATGATCTAAAAGCGGTCTTTTGATTATAAGAAATATTTGGGGTTTTCTTGAAAAATATTTATTTATTTACTATTTTTTGATCAGACAAGACATGAGGAAGCTGGAGGTGCAAACTACCAAAACTTTAGTAATACTGTCCGTTGGGGTGAAGCACTCCAGACGTCAAATTGTCCTTCATCCGGATGTGCTATTTCGGATCATGACATCAAGAAGTGCAACAGACAAAGATACGATATTTTACAAGTCAAAGCGTGGAATGTTAAAACCATGAGGCAAGCAGAGAAGTTAAAAAATTTAAAAGCTGAAATAAATAGGCTAGAACTACATACAGTAGGCATTAGTGAAGTCCGTTGGCCAGAAGCTGGAAATTCTTTGAGTGGATGCTTAAGAATCATAAATACAGGATTTGTGGAAGATAATACGGGGGTAGGAGTTGTGATACGTAGAAAGCAGGGCAGAATTTAGAAAATTATACATGAAAAAGTGATAGGATAGTTACGATTAAATTAAACTCAAAACAGCTAAAAATGGAAATAGTGCAGGTCTATACGCCTATGTCATCATACAATGATGAAGACGCAAAATCTGTATATGCAGACATAGAAGACTTATTATGTTACGTGAAGAGGCAGGAAAACCTAATAAGTGAAGGAGACTTCAACGCATGAATATGAGAAGGCAAGGAAGGTATAGTAGCAGGCACTTCTGCATTAGGCAATAGAATTGACAGGGAAGGTAGACTGTGACCGAATATTTTATTTGACCATCACGTTAGGAGGCGCTATACATGGAAAATACCAGGTGGTGTAAGGATAAATAAGTTAAATTACATTTTTGTTAAGGAAAGTGAAGTACTGTAGGAATTATCTACGAGCAGATGCAGATAGCAATCATAACCTAGTACTTATAAAAACCAAATCAAAATTATGTAGAGGAAAGGTGGGAAACGTAGAAACAGATGACAAGGACGTAGAGACAGAGTGGAACTGAATAACGAACGAGATTGTATGATTAATAGAAGGAAGGCGTAAATAGAACAGGACAGAAGAAAATGTCAAAAAAGGCATTAGGCCATATTGTGGGAACTGTAGGGCAACTAGAGAACAATGCGTTGGCATGAGGTGTAAAAAAATAGAAGACAATTTTGAAGCAGGTAAAACAGATGAGACGTATAATATAATTAAAAGGAAAATTTTAGAGAAGTAGAGTACAGTAGTAATAACATAAGAAGCGTGGGAGGAGTGAGATACTTTAAATTTTCCAACGTTAATTCAATGTATTAGTGAATTAACTTTTCAATTAGTTCTACCCACTAGAGATAACCTAATTAATGAGGGAAAATTGTTGCTGCTGTCACTGTCTTGTCGGAAATCGAACCTGGGACTGGTTTTACGCACCAGTGCCCCACCACTTAGCTATAAGGAAGTGATACCAGCAACTTATAGACGATACGTAACTAAGAGTATAGGTCATTTCCTTGTAGCTTAGTGGTAGAGTAGTGGTTCGTAAAACCAGGATGACGGGTTCGATTATCGGCAAGCGAGTGACAACAGTAACAATGTTTCCTCATTAAATTGAGGTTACCTGTAGTGGGCAAAATTAATTCACTAATTCTAGGGAGGAGTCATTTTGATAGAAAATGAGGAAAAGAAAGATAGGTGACACGAATATTTAGGAAACCTATACGTGTTAAGGCAAGATATAGTGTAATTCATCAGGACATCTGACTGACATTGCATTTAAAGTTTATAGTCTATAAACGCATTGTTCTGTACTTTGTTGTAGTAAACCTTATTAAAAAGTCTGTGTTCCAATTTTGGAATATAATATTTGACGCAATCAGTAGGATATTTGCGTTCGCTTAATTCGTAAACCCTAGGGAAAAGTGCGAAAACTGACAATTTCAATAACATTCCGTGTTTCGTGACTCATTTGTGGACTGTTTATTTTTTAAGTGTGTTATCCTAGAAGCCTTTTGACTCTTTTCATACATCCAGACGTTTCGAACAAGAAGACGATTGGCCTCGCCTACACTTTGTTCCGCAGAAGACAAATGGGTTTGGCTTCCTGGCGATCATCGCTGTGACAGCACATTCAAAGTAGGTGGTCTAAGTTATTTGCCACTTTTTTTGCCTTTTACCCCTAACATTTCTCTAGAAAGTAATTACTTTTTTCTTTGAGTACCATTCTCTGTAACTATTAAAGTTATAAAATGTCGAATCCTGATATTCCGGATAATTGAATTAGAGAAAAATGCAACTTATTCTAGATGAGAACATTTAATCTCGATGGTGACAACGTGTCGTTACACCAATACGTACAAACGATAGAAACTGCAAAAATTTCTGATGTACAATACTTATTAAGGATTGTTCTTAATAGCTTGTCAGGGAGCGCAGGATGCATCATTTTAATAAGAAACTGTTGTTGTTTCGAAATTGTAATACTTCAATCAAAGATGCGTATAATCATCTTCATCATAATAAGGTCGTCAGTCCTAAGACAGGTTGGACACGCATCATCACTCTTCCCTATCCTGAGCTAATCTTCGAATTTCCCTAAAACTAGAACAACCCACATGGTTAGTGTAATGATTCTCGAGTAAATTTTAGTTTTATCTCTCAATCACCCAATATCACGACATTTTCATGTAATAGTGATAAGCATTCAATGTCCAGTTTTTCGGGCTCGCCCTTTAAAGGTTTCTCTTCAGAATCCTCCAAAACCAAAACATGCGATATTGCAAATGATCAAAGTGAAATTGATGATTCTGATAACGAGGAAATTAAAGAAAATCATTTAAACGCGAAAACTGACGAAACAGAAGAGGGTTGTTCGTTCAATTAAACCAAAATCCCTCAAATTTTGAAAACCTCTCTAACTTCAAAATCAATACTGCTAAAACTATTACCGAAATTTTACCGTATATTTCATCAAATTTAAAAATATGCTAGTTAAGTTGTTAATTGACACAAGATATATCTCTTGACCTATCCTATCCTAGACATTGAATTTCTGAAATCATTAAATTGCAACTTTTTACAATGTAACTCCATTATATTCGTAGACAACAGCAAGATACAGATATTGCTGATACAAGAACAAATGATTAACCGTATGAATTTGCAGCCTCGATCAGAACAAGTAATAAGAATCGAAACTAATTTAACAACGGGTACCAAAGGAATTCTACCTGAATTAAATAAAAAATGAAAATAAGTTATTAAAAATGGTTCAACAGCAACAACAGAACCAGTGACCTATGCTATTACCATAACGAATTCCAAAATAATAAGGCGAGCAAATGCATCCCTCCCTGTAACTAATCTGGAAACCAACCAGAAGCTCACTAATGGCGACAGGTGAGGTCAATACAATGCAACATCACCTATTTGTCATAGACAGAAGCAGACGCCAGCGGCTTATGACACTATCATTCTGTCTCTCAATTTTTTTTTTCCCATGACGTTTCATTATACCTGACGTCACATAACCAACCTTCGGTGCTGATTTCCTTGCACACTACCAATTGCTGGAAGATTTAAGCAATCAACGACTCTTGGACCGACTCAGCCACCTCACCTCCTCGTCACAAAAGCCAACTACTTCCGTATACCACGATGTACTTCAGTATTTCCCTGCACTAATTCGACCCAGCGGCCAGATCACCCCTTCCAAACATTCAACAAGGCACTACATCAATACTACCCCCGGTCCACTGGTAATCACGATGATTAACTCCGTTGAACTGTTTCACTGCAGCCAAAAGAGAATTTGAAACATTGGTACAGCTAGGTATCGCACGTCCCTTCTTCAGAGCCTGGGCATCGCTACTACACATGGCCCCAAAAAAAGACGATGAATGACTCCTATGCGGAGATTATTGAGCTTTCAACGCGAGAAGAATCCCGGACAAATATCTTATACGCAACATTGATGATTTCATACATGCGTTGGCAAACAAAACAAGTTTCCCCTACAATCGATCTAGTTAGAGCCTATAACCAGATTCCAATTACAACACCGTTTAGTATGTTCGTATTTCCGTACATGCATTTTGGATTACGCAACACTAGCCGAATATTCCAACGTTTTAACGACGAAGTACTGTACGGCCTTGACTGCTGTTTCGCTTACATCGACGATATACTGGTCGCATCAGAAAATACTGAGCAGCACAAGCAACATTTACACACGTTATTTAATAACCTGCATATTACTTAATCAAGCAAAATGCAAATTTGGTAAAGAAGAAGTTGCTTTTCTAGGTTACTCTGTCTCGGCAAATGTAATATGACCTTTACCCGATAGAGTGATAGTAATCATCAACTTCCCCAAACCAAGTACTGCAAGCCAATTACGAAGATTCCTGGGTATGTTTAATTTCTACAGAAAGTTCCTGCCTAACGTTGCTAGCACTCGTTCAGC